GAGGGAGCACTTAACGAACTTTATTTTATGTCAATGTGTAGGGTCAACATAGTCCAGTCAAATTAGCTCCAAAAGTATTCTGAACTGGATGTTGGCATTTCACACAACGAAACCAAGTGTATTCTATGTAGTTCACTGCCTGGAAGCTCCCGGAACATATTGCTATACACAAAAAAAAAACAAGAAAAAATGGAAAAATGCAGTTTTTTTCGCATTTGACTTCCAATTATTTCGTCAACTATTGCTCGAGCTCATAGAAATGAATTTGTTTAGAATCGAATTTTCAGTTGGTACCAGGGCTCGGAATGGACCGGAACGAGCCGGAACGCTGTTCCGGTTGGTAAAAAGTATTACAATATCGTTCCGTTTCGTCAAAAATATTTGTACACTGTTCCTTTTCGTAAAGGGACCGCAGCGTCAGATCCTCTCCACCCGCACACAAAGAAATTTTACAGAACCCTACATATTGTTGGATTATTTGTCATTAATGCGATAAATATCACATGGAAACGAAAATACGTCCTTCAGATCATACCAGCACACGAAACCCATTAGTATCCACTGGTCTCCAGACCAAGGGAAACAATAAAAATGAAACATTTAATTTTTGTTACGTTTTCTCGTTGTTTTAATGTACGTAGTACATGTTTTCTATGTCCCCCCCCCCCTTCCTCCTGATGGACTGATGCTTGCGTTCCGGCGAAAATTTCCATTCCGAGCACTGGTTGATACAGAACCGTTCATTTTTAAATGTTATTGTTTTTTCTGGAAAAATATAAAAAAAGTAATCCCAAAAATTAACATTTGTTTTTGTTGATACGCCCTTCTCGATGCTTTGTCCTTCAAACTGGATGACTCCCAGAGCGTTTGCAATATTTTTATGGATGGTGGAACCGTAAAACAACCTATTCCAACAATTGTCTGTTGTCCCGATAAGTTTTGCAAATCGACGGACTGTGGAATTAGTTTAGTGGAAACCCCAGAAATAGAACAAGAAAGTAACTTTATTAGACCCTTGGCACTCTGTTTAATAAAAATCATACCAACTGTATCTGATACAAAAATCGATCCTAAACGAATTCGTTCTCTTCATTTTTTCCGTAAGAGGAATAGTTAACGAGATACCTAATTAAATGCGAAAAAACGACATTTTCCCATTTTTTCTTCGTTTACTTAAATAAACCATCTCGAGAATCGCTATTAAAACTTTGCTTTGTGACAATTTTCGTAGGTAATTGCACAAGTGCATCAAAATGCTCTTTTAACAAATTATGAAGTGTAACTTCAGCGCATTTTCCATAAATTGATCAATACTTCCCCAAAGGCCATACCTATGTGCGCTACGTTTTTCATTACTATTGGTTAAAATTTTAAAGAAATATCTTCATAAATAAGGAAGTTGGCACTCACTGCGCAGTTGATATTGCGCGTCCTGCGCATGCGCTTATTAATCTGATATTTATAAAATGCAATACGTTTGCTTTTATTAAAGTATCTTTGGTTAAAATTTCAAAGAAATATCTCCATAAAGAAAGTTTGCATTGCGCAGTCTGCGCATGCGCACATCTAATTTTTACTATATGCGATATATTTGCCTTTACTACAAGTATCTGTGATTAAAATTTCAACAAAATATATTAATAAATAAAAAAGTTAAAATTGCGCAGCCTGCGCATGCGCAGTTCAATTGTTAAGATTTTCTTTGACTCAGGTGCCAGAGCGATACGCTACCGAATGCAAAAAGAACGAACTAAATATCTTCAAAAACTATAGGAGTAGTTAAGGCCTCGGACAAACGGACGGACAGAGAAAGTGGCTGCAATAGCGCACCCAACTTCGTTGGAAAATGCGCTAAAAATTATCAGGATTATTTTGATGCACGAGTGTAATTCGGGGTAATATTTCCCGAATAAACATTACAAACTCACCTTACCTACTTATAAAATTGTTAAGTGTATTCCCATGAAATGTGCAATTATCGCAGGGCTCTTTCTTTCGTTTTCTACAATGCAATTACCGCTGTAATTGACCGATAATTGCACACCTCAATTGGGATTTATTACATATGAGGCAAATATTCATTCGAAAATTTGCTTACGTTTAGGTTTTCTTTATCCAAGTTAAATGATTTATTCCACAAACGGAGAGACAAGTAGGCAAGTGGAGTACGTAGGTATATCAACAAACACGGAGATTACACTTTTTTCGAGAATTCGAAAAGTGGTGCAAGTTATATCGTTTCTTATGCACCCAAAGACAACGAGTAATACGTAATTGCGAATATGAAGTGATATTTGCTTTGTATGTGTACCTGCAAAGATTATCAGCATTTCGCCTCAGATGTAAATTATGGGGATTTCTTGTGGGACAGCTTTCTAACAAAAAAGTATCAATACTTCTTTCCCTAGACAATTTGCAAAACCATTCCAATAAAAGAAATCTGTAGAAGAACCAACACATTGTTGTATGCGCTAATAGATGGAGCAAAATAGAGGGATAGCAGGTTTTTAAATAAGGGGACATTTGTCACAAAACTTAGCGTGCTTTTTCCCCTTAAGATTGACCGTCTGTAGTATATGTTGTCTGTGCTATTACATACCTATTTAAAACTATCTATACCGATTTGCGATAGAAAAAACAACAACTAAATGGCGTGGTTACCATAGTAATGATATAATAAAAGGAATTTGAGGCGTTCTTTGCACGACGCATCAATATAGTCGCAAAATGCGTAATTAAAGTATAAAAATAATCATGTAGATAACATTGCAGTAGGTATGTTTGCCGGAACATTTATTTATTTGTAAGCTCTTATTAATACGCGAGTACTAACACATGAACCTAGATCTTTGACCTGGCGAAGATGGTGATCGTTGTTTGAAAGAACGGATGCCTATGTAATTTAGTACGAGTTTCGTTTGCTTATAATTGTCAACGTTGTTCGGAGTGTGTCCATGTCTCATAATGGAGCTACAATAACCACGAACGCTGACCTTGCCCTAGGGTAATTCATTCCTTACACATGAGTCTCTTGACATCTACGATGTTTTCAAATAATACCTAGGGACTAGAGGTATAGTATTTTTTTATGAATGTGTAAATAATGTTAAGGTAGATATTTTTATGGGCAATTGAATGAAATTAATTAATTAGAAAAAGTTCTTTAATTCTTAAAATGATTTGGATTGTGTAGTTGTCGTCATATCAAAACTTCACTTGGTGAACTCATTTCCATTTAGCTTTAACAGTGCACATGCATCTGTAATTATTTAAAACAATTCAGCAGTATTAGGTCAAAAGATAAATATGATATTAAAGTCACTTTAAATGTAAAAGGTGATCACCTAGCGATATATTGTTTTTATTATACCTGCATCAGAATCGTTGTTTAAAACACGCCTGAGCGTACACAAAAGGCGGATAGCACGGCGAGATTTAGAGGTTGCTTCAAATATGACATATGAAACTATAATCTGGAACTGAAAAAAAAATTCCTCTCGGATCACTTTATGCAAATGCAAAATATGTCTTTGGCTCGTATCCTTCGTTGGAATCCTTCACAAAGCACGTGATTTACAGTAGGTATTTTGAAAAATAAAAAGTTTTGAATCAATGCGCCAACGGTAGAAGATTTGACATTTTATTTACGGAGATGATGATTTTTATAAGCAAACCTCATGTAGCATTTCCATGGCATTCATTGAATTACGAATAATCAGCCCGTATTCGAATATAACGTCAATATGGTTTCATTTTATTTCCCTTATTTTTAAGTTATATAATGTCATAATTATATGATGCACTGATTCATGAGAAATTCTAGTTTCCATTGCTATATTTCGTTGAAGGTTTGTTACGAATTGTTATCATGATCTCTTGGCGTTGTAGTACTCTTCATTCCACAAATTGAAATATTCAATGCGGTTGCTTTCAAGCACTTTTGGACAGATTTGAGGAAGACCACGGTAACTTTTCAAAAATATTTTATAGAATTTCCAATATTTCAAGATAATTCTATGCTGTTGCGAGTATCCCAGACATCAGGGCGCTAGCAGGCGCAATGAAGTCGATAAAAAATGAGTCACCTGTGATAAGGATTGAATGTGGATGCGACACATTCTTTTCTTGAAATATGATACGCCTCATAGACTCTTAGAGAACATTCCGTGATTTTTCTTAAAAACTGTTCGTTTGTTATATACTCGTATGCAAATGCATCTGAATCTTTGCAGATTTTGGAATGTTCTTTTACAATTCTAAGCTTATACGGCGCTAAATTCTTACATATTAAAAAAAGTTTATGACAATTTTACATCCTTTATAATGCCTAATGTACATTCGCAAAATTCTAACGAAATCATAGTAATCGTTTTGGCGAAAAAAATTTTTGACATTTTTTATCTCAGTTTTTTTGTAATAAAACCTGGCACAATTTTTGTAGGTTGTACACAGAAAAATAAGGTCTTTCAAATAACTTCATAAAATTTATTTTACAAAATTCAATGCCGTTGCGGCACTCTAACATTTTTTTTCAAAATTCCGGCTCGTTATTTTTTGTTTCAGTATGCCTGATATGCATATCTAAAATTTGAACAAAATCCGCCGAGCCGTTACCTCGGAAATTGCCAACACACTCACGTACGGACGTACGCACATACATACAGACGGAAAAAATGCAATTCTTTAAAAGTTGCTTGAAATGATCTAAAAATGTCGACATTTAATGAAATTTTAACATGCCCAAAAAACGTTGATCGCAATAGCCATCTTACAGCTAGCTCAAAGCTAGGAAGCTAAAAAGTGAAAGCACAGACCTGCTTAAAACGTCTCAATATTATATTCAAAGCTTAATTGAAATCGATAGTTAAGATAATTACGACCACTTTAGACGAGTTTGCGTTTTCATATTTATTCTACAAAAATGACGATTACCATTTTTAGGTGTGCAAGTACGTTTAAATGGATGCAAGTTCAGAAATTTAAAATCGTTGGACTTATCTGACAACGACATCTGCATCTTGTTGGATGTGTTAGAATCTTTGAGGAAAGTTTCAAGTCTGCGTTCTATAGTGCTTGAAGGAAATCCCTGTTCTGTGAGTAAACAATCTGCTTTCCGTTGTAGGTGCAAACTACCGTTTCGTAAGAAGAGATGTCACTGCACGTTACCTGCGTTGTAGAAAACTCGCAGCTTATTAAGATACATACAATCCCAAAAAAGAGGCCTAGGCCTACATATTCGAATGACGGTATTGAATGATGCTCTTTTTCTCTACAAGGTGTCGCCTAAATATTATTGATCCAATTTGAATTTATTGCGATTGTAAAATTCTAATTTTGTTGGCGGTAAATACTCGTAGTTCCAACATTGAATTCAGATTTATTATTCAATGGTTCCAATGAGTTTGTAACGTTTTCATACTGTATTTTTCCATAATTTTCTTTTTGCAAACAGTCTGACGGTTTACGGGCTTCCCAAAAGAGCGACCTAAATAGTATTCGGAATTATAATTTTAATTTAACAATACCTTACTAAATAGGTTGAACTTCAGTAGTGAATAAGAAAAAAAAAACTGGAGAAGTTCTGGGCATGTTTGGACGATTATTTTATACCGAAGAGCGACACGAATTCAATACACGAATCTTTCGACAAGTTTATATAAGATCTGAGAAAATTTTCAATCAATTACCGTCTGAATATTAATTTATAAATTGCATTAGAATCCAAAACATTTATTTTTAATCGTCCCCAGTCAAACTTTCCTCTGGATCCGGGTCTAATCCTATATCGTAACATTGCTGCAAAAAATTAGTTGGTAGATGTAAAAAGCTTGATTTTGTCACAAAAATTCCAATACTTCACAAGCAACAATCACATTTTTAATAGGAATACAGAAGCTAGGGTTGAATTTAATGACAAAATTGTAAAATTAACCCTGCGCAATAATCATTTGTCCTAACGGTTTTTCGATTCTCAAAGGGAGCTTATTGTTTCACCAACTATCTATCGGCTGTTCGGGCGCCTTTTATGAATTTCTACTATCTTGTTATTCCTGCATCTTCTAGTTTGAAAGCTGAAAGCCATCCCTAAAGTTGATAATTTATGCATTTCCTTTAAATGTTGAAATAAGAAAATAGAATATCATAGTGTGTGTATGAATGTTAGTTCGTTCGTTTAATCCATCCGCGGAATAAAAATAAGTCCGATCTTATCTAATTCACGAGTACGAAATTATTTATTCTGCTAACAGGTTATGGGCCTGGATAGTCAATTTCAAGTTGATTGAGTACTCTGAACATATTACATTGCAGTAAATTTTTACATAATTCGTTGTTGAATCTCAAAATGTAATCGCCGTCAAACCAAATTTTTCAAATTGAAAAATTAAATGATCGATAGAACGTTGCCTATTGGGAATCTGTTGTACAGGCACATTTGGAGAAGGAAGATCTGATTAAGTACAGAGTAAATGAAATACCTTTCGAGGTAGTTCGGATGTTGAAGCGGCGAAAGAAGTCTATGATATTCTATGATAAAATGGCCATCGAACATTCGGGCATAAAAATCACTGGTTAAAACATGGTAAATTTTTTTCCGTAATGAAGTAGCCCTGTGGTACACCTTATAACAAAAACATTGGGAGGGTTTTTTCTTATTTTAAAAGTGCCATAAGAATATTTTTGGGATCATTCCTTGGTAAATTTTTTTTGTTCTGACTGAAGTTCCAGATATTCCTTCAAGAGTTCTATAAAGTACGCGCCACCAAGAAAACAGATTTGTTGGGCATCGTTAGCATTGGAGCGTTTACTAGAAATCTGGATAGCCTCTCAACAGATAATCTAACTCAAAATAGACTAGAGCCTGCACATCTGCACTAGAGCAATTTGAAGTCTCTAGCTATTGTAATTGCTGAAATCCGGGCAGCCAGCCAGCGAACCAGCCAGCCATAACGAATATACAGGGTGTTTCATAATTGAATGTCAATATTTAAGGGGGCGATTTTTGGGTCCATTTTAAAAAGAAAACTTCATATGAACCTATGTCCTAAACATCTTAACTTTTGAGATACAGGGTGGTAAAGTTTTAAAAAAATAAAAAATCGTCAACAGAATTAATAATTGTGACAGGCGCAGTCTACTACAATGATAAGAAAGCAATACTTCTTTTTTACCTATGTAGTTTTCTTAATGTTTTATTGAAAAAGTTCCAAAAGTCGAAGTACGGAGCATGAGCAGGTTTGATCGCTTGATTTTCTCAATTCGACGCACGATTATAAAAAGAAAATCTTTTTCGATGCATGATATTGCCATAATCATGTAGAGAAACGGTTTTTTTAAGCGAAAACCGTGCATCGGATTGAAAAAAGCAAAAGGATCAAATTTGCTTAGAAATAATTGGAAATTTCAAGATTTTCAGAGAAATCAGTGGCGTACCATCAATGTCTGCCAAAATGGGCATGTCAAATACCGTACGAACGCCACTGGTGAAAATTAAAAAAAAAGTGGTATGTAAAAAATGCCTCTGGATACATAGTACATACATGCATAATTTCATTAAATATCTAAAGTGGTATTACAGATTATATTATATTAATAATAAATGATTTATTTTTGAAAACTTTACTACCCTGTATCTCAAAAGTTAAGACGTTTAAGTTCATATGAAGCTAAAATGGACCCAAAAATCGCCCCCTTAAATATTGACATTCATTTAATGAAACACCCTGTACCTATAGCGTTTTTTTTAATGCGCTAAAAATATAACTCGTCTAAAACAATTGCACTATAGACAAAAAAACATATTTGAGCTTTGTGTGACACGTGGCATCTTTGGGTGTAGTATAAGTGCACTTTTTAATAATTTCATAGCTAGAGGCAACTATGAATAGCAATTATATATAAATTTGTCATGAACTCATGACACAATTTACAATGATATAAATAGGTAATCAGAGCATTGTATATTAAAACAATTCATTGCAGACGTGCATTGCGTATAAGGACGCGGTACTCTCCCTTCTTCCGCAATTAACATATTTAGATAACACACGGGTAGCCGACAAGGATAGGGCCCCTTGCACATTTAGTAACGATGACCTCATAAATGGAACATTAATATTCGCCTGTCATAGGATTATGGGCCTCCCCGCCCCACCGAAGCAAGTAAGCTTACTTACAACGGATGACGGTGCTTTGGTAAATTTCTATTACTTACAGAAAGGAATACAACATGCGTTTTATTTGGAAGTGGCGTTACCGTTACTAGACCAAGCGGCCTGCAGTTCAAAATCTCCCCCGGTTACTAAACCCCCCGAAGGTGTTAGCTATAAGTCACACTACGAAAGACCAGACGAATATAAACGGGAAAAAGAATTGAATACGCCAGAGGCTTCATTTAAAACGTCTCGCAAGGAGTGGGCAAAAATAATTCAATTCCCCGAAGAAAGTATATCCGCCCCTTGCCCGGAACAAGAGTTGACGTTGATTCGTGATACATTCAGAAGCAAAGTAAACGTGAAGGTCATTTATCTGATGGTTATTTCCGTTGTTCCACAGACGGGAAGCATAATTTGAAATGTTTCAGGTGCGCCCTCCCGTCGTACCGAAAGGTAAACCTCCCGCAACTCCTCCTCACGAGGAAATAATGAAGAAAATCACATTGGCCAATGTTACCTGCGAACTTCGCGCTGTGAATTGGAGCGATAAAACCATCGACTTCTACTGGGCCGATCATGATGCCTGCCACCTGCAGGCCATACCAGTAGAAGGCAGCCTTAGGGTGAGATTTCTGAGTTCATTGTCTTAACCCTTTGGACTTTTGTTTCAGTCGATTACTTACGTGGAAGGTAAACCGCCAGCGAAAGCTCGAGCTGTGGACGATGCCAACGTGGAATACCTTCCAAGTGTGTTAACCGTACAGGTCGGTTTTGGATTAAAGCGTTTAGAATCGAATGCACAACGGTGAATGGAATAGGCGACGCACATTTTATTAAATAATTGTAATAACAAAATTACCTTTATTAAATCTAAATGTGTTGCACTTATAACAACATTATTCACTTGGCGTTTAACTTTCGGTTTGTATAGACGCGATGGAGCGTCGACGATCATCGGTCAAGTCCATTAAAGGCGATTTTAAGCGCGGAAACTGGGCTAGTAAAACAGAATTTTTGTTGTCATGTATGGGATACGCCATTGGTATTGGTAACGTATGGAGATTTCCATACCTGTGCTATCGAAACGGCGGAGGTAGCCCTGCAAGATTTGGCAATTGTGAGCTCTCTAACGTGTGTGTTTCAGGAGCGTTTCTGGTTCCCTACCTCATTATGCTGTTTTTATGTGGAATACCTCTATTTTTTATGGAAACTTCGCTTGGACAATTCTCTGGCACGGGGTGCATCACTTTATTTAAAATTGCACCTTTGTTTAAAGGTAGTGAGGTTGAGTTAAGTTTGGTGACTATAACCCTTCGTGTTTTAGGCGCTGGATTCGCAATCGTAATTGTGAACTTTATGTGCACGGTTTATTACATTGTGATCATTGCTTACCCCATACTGTTTATGGCCAACTGCTTTCAAGGAAAACTGCCTTGGGCCGACTGCAATAATGACTGGAACACCGAGCACTGCTTACAGGTATGCACTTCCAACAATACCCAATGCATAGATTTTTAAAATCCAGATCAGTACTGGTGACCTCACCGCCAATGTTACTTCAGAGCTGTTTAATATCACCCAAAACTCACAGTGGAAGACACCCTCCGACGAATACTTTCAGTAGGGAAATTCACAAATTCCTCCCGTTTAATCAGTTAATTTCCAGCAACAAAATTCTTCAGATATCGTCCGGTATTGACGAAGTTGGATCAATAGTTTGGCCCTTGTTCCTTTGCGATTTTATCGCTTGGACCGTGGTGTACTTGTGCATTATGAACGGCGTGCATTCGGTAGGAAAGGTGGTTTACTTTACAGCCACCTTCCCTTTTGTAATATTATTTGTGCTACTAATAAGGGGAGTGACTCTCCCGGGCGCGTGGGACGGAATCTCGTTTTACATATATCCTCAGTGGAGCAGATTGGGAAACCTGAAGGTAGGGGCCCCAAATTATTAAACCAAATAATGCTCGCACAACAATTTTAGGTTTGGACTGACGCTGCTGTCCAAATATTCTTCTCTTTAGGGCCCGGTTGGGGAGGAATTATTAACATGGCCAGTTATAATGAGTTTAGAAATAATAGTAAAGGGTAAGTGCTCATTACGGTTGTGTCTACGTTAATAATGATACATCGATGACAGTGGTAAACGCAAATTGAACATTAGTACCGCAAACGTACATTAAACAATCATTAAAAAAAGATATAAATGTGCATTTTTCACTTTGATGCATATCGTAGGTTATTATTGCCATATGCAAGGTTAAAGAATGTAAAACTGTTAAATTAATTTCAATTTTAAAGGCTGCCTATCCATCCACTCGTTGAAAATATGCTTTCTGGGCTCTGCACTGAGCACTTGCCCTCGTCCCCTGATATAGTACTTTATATTATGTATGTAGTATGGTAGCGATTTTTAATGGCGAGTCGTTAGGTAATTGGTAAAAATCGTATTACCTCGCATTTAATGTATAGGTAATATTTTATTACTCGCATAATTTAATTACGAAAATATAACACACTGATCCAAGCACGTATAGGTATGCAGTTGGTACAGGAGGGGTTCACGTTCAACGGCCCCCCAATAATGATCAATTTTATATGTACTTTTCAAAAATTGAATAATAAATGTATAAGACTTAGTTCAATTTTGTGCTTAAGAAGAACTAATGGTGCACCTATAAGGTTTGGAATAAGCAGGACTTTTATAAAGAATAACTTTTTTTCGTAAAAATTATAATATCGAAGATTTCCATATGTAGCGAACTTCAGTAGACATGCTGTATATACATTTCCTCGAAAATATCATATTAATTGAATCCAGGCCCTTCGCCAGGATAAAGTAGCAGAGGTGGCAAACAGATTTCCAGGTGGGGCTTGAGAAAAAACATTGATAACAAAGCTTTTATTCAAAATAACAGTAATTTTTGATGGTATCCTGGTTTATTAATATTCTCTCCAAAACAGGAAAATAAACAATACTATTATATAGATGGGGCCAGACCATGCTGTAGGTGGGGTTCAGCCTCACCTGGCCACCCCCTGGCTACGGGCCTGATTGAACCCACTAAATTGGTTTTCTACGACTAATTCTGAACAAGATCAGTGTAATACAAACAACTGTAACTTTTTATAGGTTACACTACACAAAACAAACTACCTTGGCGGAGCTCTTTAGGAATTGATGACTATCAAAATATCTTCGTAAACTTTTTAGCGCATTTTTGGAAAAAATAACTATATTCCCATACATAATGTTATACAGGTGCATATTCGTTATGGCTAGGTGGCTGTCCGACTGAGATCTCGGCAATTACAATAGCTAGAGACTTCAAATTCACTAAAAGCTCTCTGATGTGGTGCAGATGTGCAGGCTATAGTCTATTTTGAGTTGATTACTTGTGAGATCGACAATCTAAGAAAATAATTTCGATATGGTTTTCGGAGGTGCTACAATTTTACCGTTAGATAGCGCTACCAGTATAACAACTTAATTATTTGCCCATTTTTGAAAAAAAATACGCTATTATATTCGTTATGGCTGACTGACTGGCTGTCCGGCTGAGATCTCTGCAATTACAATTGTTAGAGACTAAATTTTCACTAAAAGTTTTCTGTTATAGTGTAGATATGCAGGCTCTAGTATATTTTGAGTTAAATTACTCGTGAGATCGCTAATTTTAATTTTTGCGAATGAAATATTGATCTGCATTACCAAAAATGTGCTTTCATCATGCCTATGCTGATTTGCAACTTGTTTTTATTAATGGTTTTATAAGTGGATTTTTAACACAGAGGTCTTACAGAACTACTACAGTATAACAGAAATAGATCTGTGGCATTTAAGAAATTAATAAGATTTAAGACCTGATTTAAGAGGATATGTAAAGAATTTCGTACAAACATCGCGGTTACTGACATCATGGTTTAATTAGTTGTTGATATTTGGGACAGTCCTGGTATATATGTCTAACGGTCAATATCACATTTGTGCAGTTGTGACTGTTTTATTTATGAACCGATCTTGGTGAAATTTTTACAGTAGCACTTTTTAATATAGGCAAATCGACTGACTGTAATAAACATATGAAAAGCTTCTTGTTGTTTATGGACCGATATTGCTCAAATAAAAATACAACAAGGGCAGGTGGTGGGTCCTAACAAAATGCTATCGTGCGGAAAAGTTCAATTTTGAAGAAACTCATCTGTTCATCTATTCAATTGTATCTCAGCAATTTTCTTGATGCTTTTAATGTGTCAGTTGTCAAACCCTTTTTTAAGAAGGGAGACTCAAGCTCAACCAACATAGACAATTATAGACCAATTGCTATAGTATGAATGTTTTCCATACTTTAAAATTGTTATAAATAAAAGATTATATAACATCTCTAGAATGTAATAAAGTATTAAATTGTGGCCAATATAGAAAAGTGTATCAATAACAAAAGTTGTTGGTCAAATTGTATCTCTAATTGTGAGATCGTGGAAGAACATAGAAAATTCTTCACTAATATTCTACGATTTGTCCATAGCCTTTAACTGCATTTAAAATTATGTTAGATAAGCTTCAATTACTTGTATATGGGATCTGTGGGATTATTAATGTCAACTTATCTTAGTAATCGCAAGCATGTGTTTTGGTTAATGGCGTTTATCAAAGTTAATCAATACTAAACATGGAGCCCCTCAAGGCTCTATATTAGGACCTGCATTTTTCATTATATACGTAAATGACTGTGTTGCATATGAGGACGATGCTTCCTTACTCATTTCAGACCAAATTATCAAAGATCTAACTCTTAAAAGTAATTTAATATAATTAGGAATAAGCTCGTTTAATAAGAGCAATTTAAAACTAAATGAAGATTAATTAACTTTAATTAAAGTACTAGGTATACAGGCTGTTTCACGCACACCGTTACTTAAAAGCATTTAGACTTCCATTAATAATTAAAATCTGAAAATTTGCATACGAACATAGTTTTTAATGATCTATCGAAAGAACATATTATCATGATCGTTTTACTTTCGGTTTTACCGGATGTGGATAGCAACTTTTTTATTTTAATCAGAACACCCTGTATTGTATTGCATTTCCGAAATCTACATGGAAATCTACGTTGTTTGATACCACATTTTCCTTAAGCATCAAAGGTTTTCAAGTTATTCTAGATTTTTCAACATTTTTGATGTTTGTTTTCATTTTGAGCCCTGTACGTATCTATGACTCCGTTGACGTGAATTTAAAAAACTCTGCCAATGCTGACTTCATGTTACATGAGAATGATTTATATTTTGATCGCCCGTCTACAGCGTGTTGTAAAACTAATGGTCAATTTTAATAACTTCAAACCTTAAAAGTTGATTTTTCCAAATAAAAATGCTTTTTTATTATAGGTACCTGAATCACAATCTCCGTTTTAAACACTCAAATGCGTGCGAAAAATGGTCTTTAAAACACACGTGCTTTAAAGTTGCTAAGCAATGATACTTCAAGTATCACTTTTGAAACTGTCATCTGGGTGAAATAAAAAATCCTCTTAGGTGGCTTTCTGTAAATGCAGAACATTTCTTTGGCTTGTACCTATCCTTTGGTTGAAGCTTTTACAAACGCGCGTAATTTAGGGTATGCTTCCAAATCTGTTCCACTTTTTAATCGCAGCATTGTTTGAAGTTTTGAATGAATGCACAAAAAGATAGAAGATTTAAATACTTTTGACATTTCCTTCATATACATATACCGGCATTATCGATGCAATTAAGACTTCGTAAGTAACTTCCTATTCATCCGTGGAAACAACTTTTCATATTATTTATAATAGGCTTTACTGGGTTTGGATTTTACACCTACCAACGTTTGTTTAGATTTTACAACAAGCGTTTTAATGGATGGTGTATTATCTTTTTCAACGGAAATCTTTTTATTCACAAAGACGATGATTTTTATAAGCAAACGTCAAGTGACATTTCCATGACAATCGTTAAATTACGAACACTCAGCCCACTTAATTAGACATTGTATTCGAGAATAACGTCAATATGATTTCATTGTATTTCCTATTTTTAAATTATACTGCAGCTATAATAAAAAATACTATAAGATACACGTGTATAAATGGTCTTTAAAGCACTTGCAACGTTAAAGGCACTCCGCTTCGCGTCGTGCCATTAAACTCGTTGCGCATGCTTTAAAGACTTGATTATACACTTGTATCTTAATATCCTATTTTTATTATACCTGCATCAGAATCGCTGTTTAAAACACGCCTGAGCGTGCGTAAAAAGGTGATTAAATTAAAGACGCCGAGCTTTAAAGGTTGCTAAGTAACGTTACTTCAAATATGACATATGAAACAATATTTGTAGTGTGGGATTGAAATAAAATATCCCCTCGGATCGCTTTTTGCAAATGAAAAAGGTGTCTTTGGCTCGTATCCTTTGTGGGAAGCTTCACAAACGCAAGTTTTGAATGAATGCACCGAAGGGTAGAAGATTTAAATACCTACCTTTGATATTTCCTTCATATATGACAGCATGAACGATGCATTTAAGACCTTGTTTGGAAGATGCTTCCTATTATTCCACGCCATTTTCATATATTCTTTATAATAGGCTTTTGCATTTGGATGTTACAGGTTCTTCTGCTGCAGAAATAAGCCACTGAATAGACGGTGTATTGTCTTCTTCAACCGAAGCCATTTTATTTACAAAGACGGTGATTTTTAATATGCGAACGTCAAGTGACATTTCCATGGCAATCATGGAATGACTAATAATAATCAGCCCACTTAATTAGAAATGTATTCGAGTATAACGTCAATATGATTTCATTGTATTTCCCTTATTTTTAAATTATATTGCAGGTATAATAAAAAATACTATAAGAAACGCGTGTATAATTGGTGTTTAAAGCACTTGCAACGTTTAAAGGCACTCCGCTGCGCGTCGTGCCATTAAACTCGTTGCGCGTGCTTTAAAGATTTGATTATACACTTGTTTCTTAATATACTATTTTTTCACCTTCAAATGTTGAAAAAAAATTACTTTTTGTTATGGCCCAAATATTACACAAAGCTTGACAATTAAAGTTCGAACAAAATCAACTGGACTCTTACTGAACGTAGAAAACAGTGACATGGACATGTGAACCAATGAATTACAAAATGCAAAGTCAGCAAAGCTAAATCGAGACATATTTTCTACATTATACAGATTAACATCGTTTAAAAATTTCTGATATAAGGAAAGGGCCCCCAAATATTTTTGAAGACGTGCCTCTATAAAATGAAGATACGCCACTGGACGTATTGGTATTCTTATATGTAGCTAAAGTTTGGATATAATTTCAAATCGATGATTAAACCCGCAAAATAAAATTACCTGTTTACTGCTAATTCGGCGTAGATATCCCGTTTTGTATAATAAATCAATTATTATTGCAAAGTAGAATTTATTTCGTAGGAAATCGTGTCCACAATTGAGTGAAAAAACAAACGGCGAATCTGTCCTTATTTCTATCGAATCATCACAAAACGAATACAAGCAATTTACGAAAAATATCGCTAACCATAAAACTGTATCAATATTCTTTCTTTTTATGAAAAATGACATATAAAAGTATTGCGTGATAGGTATGAAACCAGACAAAGAGTTGTGGCCTAGTTCTTTCCTAATACGCCGCTATCAGGATTTGATTACGGTCGTTTACCACTATAAACAATTTCGACCCCAAACTTTTGATTAAAAATTGACGCCGCGAACGATTGAATGCTTTTTCTTTCAGAGACGCGATCCTTGTGCCAATATTAAATTCAGCGACGAGCATATTTGCAGGATTCGTCGTGTTTTCAATATTAGGATTTATGGCACACAAGACTGGCTTGCCGGTATCTACGGTTGCCACCGGCGGTCCTGGACTTGCCTTTGTGACGTATCCGGAAGCGATCACCATGTTGCCTTGGTCGAACTTCTGGGCCGTGATGTTCTTCTTCATGTTGTTTCTCTTAGGCTTAGATACTTGTGTACGTATTGCAAGCAACCATCGCCACTTGTTACGTTTCCAATATTTCAGTTCGTCCAAATTGAAGCGATCATCAGCAGCGTGATTGATGAGTACCCATTCTTGCACAACCACAAAAAGGTTGTCACTTTGGGTGCGTGCGTCGCAATGTTCCTGTGCTCCACCATATTTATTACTAACGTAACTAGGTTTCATTTAAAATTAACCACGAAGCACTTTGTTTTAAGGGCGGCATGTATTTGCTACAACTGTTTGACTGGTACGCGGCATCAATATCAGTAATACTTATTTGCCTAGTTGAAGTTCTTATTGTGGCCTACACCTACGGGAGTGTTAATTTTATAAGGGATATTGAATTTATGTTACAGAAGAAAGTTAATTGGTGGTGGAAGTGGTGTTGGAAATTTATAACCCCCGCTATACTAACAGTAATAATCTCACAGTAATTTTTGATTTAGTTATCCGAGATTTTCCTTTCAGTTTATTTTTATCGCGACAATAGCATTTAATACGACAGTAACCTACAACGGATTTATCTACCCCGATTGGGCGGTCGCCATTGGATGGTGCACTTGTGGCGTTTCCATCATTTGCATTCCCATCTATATGGGTTATCACCTTCTGTACAATGAAACCGGAGATTGTATCGATGTAAGTATCCGTTGAGTTTTCCTGACTAATCGGTAGTCTATCATCAGCGTATCCAGTCGTCGATCAAGCCGAGTCCAGAATGGGGACCGGCCTCAGATATTTATCGCAAGGAATGGAATAACATTATTGTATACGACAAAGCAGAAGGTTAAGGGAAATTTGCTCGTTAGTCTTGAACCTGACTCTTTGTTTCAGAGTTACGGAGAACCCTTCCTGAGAATGGGGATCATTTACATGAAGAATTCGTTAAATTGTGTAATAACTCGAACACTTTAGGATAAGTCTACGTTTGTAATCAATATAACGATAAGTTCAATTTAAGGTTTATTGATTTAACCGAGAGGTTTTACATAGATCTGTTTACAAAGTTCCAGGTGCTGGGGCAGTGTTGATATGGTGGCTAAAAGCGTGGGGTCCTTCAGGTAGAGGGGCGGTGTGGACAGCACCACGAGTGGCAGCAACGTATCTAGAAATAAATTTTGATTTAGTTCTCAGAGTAGGTGGTGAATAATACAACTTACCCATTTTGAACTGCGGGAACGGCGGCTACCACATGTGCAGATCTATACAAACCTCCATAAGCATAAGGGTGGACATATCCGTAATGATGAGGGAAGATGAACTGGCACGAGGCAACAGCGAAGAAAACGAAAAGGGCTACCAAAACACACTAAGCCACCACACAGTTAATTAAAAAATACCGTTCAATGGCGTTCACTTACCTTCATTTTGAGATGGATACTTCTTAGCTAACGAAGACGTAATGCTGTTAGAAGACTGCGCTGAGCCTTTTATACAAAATTTTCACATTAAAGATAGAAAAATTCAAAGTCACTCAACCTTGATTCGTACCAGACCATTAAAATGTAGTTTGGGCGTGGACGAAACGCATGTATCCAAGACAATGAAACTGGTAGCGGGTTGTGGTATAAACAGCTAATTAACCACAATAAAATTAATATTAATATCGGTAATGTATGCATTTCGTACTTAGACAAATGGGTTAAATTTTGCAGCAAATGTCGCGTTACCAAATTGCTGTGGAGCATACACGTAATTTAAATCTCATCAGATACTCGTTTATCATTGAGAGATAATCAATAAGTTAATCTTCTCGCACTAATTACACATTAGGTGTTAAAGATCTGGAATTTATTGATTCCTAATTATTCGTTATAAATTCATTTGTGGGCGAGGTTTTTATGTAAATACATAGGAACTACATGAACTTACATAATAAATTAACACAGATTGATAATTCTTTTAAATTTATTGCAGTTTTTTCTCAAACAAGTTAAATACAATAAAATAGACTGTTTTAAGTGAGGCAGTGGTAATACTGCATTCCATTATGGCAACGCGACTGGCGTTCAGAATACCCAATTAAGTATTTAGCAGAGCGTCAAGGTGCAGTAAACAATTTTGTAGGTATTAATCTCGAGATATCGGTATTTGTTGTAAACAGTTCCGCAAGTTTTAGTCATGGCTGCCAAGTTTCGACAGCCCACCAGATTAAGTGTGATACGAGTGCACATTGTGCACAAGTGGTCGATCATATGTTACTATTATATGGTATCAAAATACAGCTTAATTAACATTTAAACAAAGAATAAATATTAAAAACTTCGCACCTGCAGATGCAGTATAACTGTCTTCGTCAACCCGACCATATTAAGAAGGTATTCCCCGGTGAAAAACACTTAATGTTACCTCAGGCGTTTAGGGAAGATGAATTGTATGGTCAAGTTGGTTAACTAGACGATAACTTTATAATATTCTACTACGCTTACTTAGTATTTAACAGTTTCCGCGACTTCTGTGAGTGCATATGGCAAGCCTCATCTATTCACTTTCTTCATTGACCAAAGGAATTAAGGGTTGGCGTGCAAAGCACAAATTAAAAACTTTTCTTTTTTTTAAAATCATTGTGCTCAGTTACCCCAAAAATTGGGGCAAGGTGCATGTACACTTGTACGACACATTCGAATTGTGAGTATCAACAACACCGAGAAAGACGAATAAAGAATAGGATACGGAAGGAATACTCTTGGACAACCAATTCGCGAAGAAGGATAATAGAAAAGCAAGGTATCTTAACAGGGATGAAAAAGAGATAAAGGAATAGCGAGGAGGAAGGAATACAAGAAAGAAAAGTGGAAGTGGAGAGGAAGAAAATCATAGTGATAATTATTTATAGGCTATAGCAGAGAAGGAATGAAAGACTTAACAAGTGTACATTGTGCACAACTCTTGTGCAGATAGAGCGCATTTTTTTAAACCGAAATAGCTTTTGCTTTGACAATACCAATGGGTATATTTCTTGCAGACGTCTCAATCGCCCTTTGTGAGTACCCTCTTTGGATAATCCATTCGTGAGTTATAAGGGAATATACCCGATCACGATAAGAGGCCGCGGAGGAGTGGTATAGTTGTTAGAAATTAATTCCTTTCGTTGAGACCTTTCATTAGAGTACCATGAAGGATAAAACTAGTCCCCCCCCCCCCGCCACCTCCGCCCCGTACTTTGATAAGAGGACAGAAAGAAAGGCAGTAGTTGGTAGAAAAGGGTTCCTTTCGTTGAGACTTTTAATTAGAATACATGAGAGATAAAATCAATTTTTCACCCCCCCCGTTCAAAACGGTAGAAGTGGGTCCGGACTCCGGACGGACAAAACGCAAATAGCACATTTTTTTTAATTCTTAAAAAATGCGCTAAAAAATTAAATAGAAAATATAGTATAGGAAAGAGATCAGTAAATGAAAAATAAGTACTTACTGGAAGAAATAGACAGGAGATATAGTTATCAACAAGAGACACTGTGGAGTTATATGTACGGGGACTAGATAAACAAGGATAAGGAGGGAGTACAGAAGAGCATTGGAATAATACTTATTTATTATTCCTTTCTTGTTCTGGGCCCTGAACAGACTTGCGGCCAATTACATAGTGACCCGCGGAATGCTGTTTAGAGGTGCCTCTGCAGAAGGTCTTAAGTTGTTCAATATTACTCCGATATTTACCTTACGAATTAGGACAACTAAACTGATCTAAATGAATTTCCCATCACTGCCACAGACAAAAAATTCACCTCAACCCAGGTTCGAACACCCGACCTCCGGATTTATAGCCCAACGCTCTACCATTAAACCACAAAGTCGGCAAAGGAGAGTATTAAACAATCAATAACGTGGAAACCAATAATTGAAGGATAGGGGAGAAAAAAGAAAGGAGTGATGAGAGGGAGATTGCAGAGAAGAGAGAAACAGATATAAAGAAATCACGGGGAGAGAAAGAAGAGGGCAAATAGAGGAGAAAGAGGTGAGAGAACAGAAAAAACTACAAAAGAAAATGTAAAGAAGAAACGAGAAACATAAGAGAAAATCAGGGAAATAATAACAGAGAAGGATTTTTGGAATGTGATAAACAGAGGAAAAAATAAAAATAGAACAAGTGAGACGGAAATACATTTAGAGGAACATTTGTGTTAAGTACTACAAGCAAAGCAGGAGAAAGAGGGGCTATGGAAGAGGTAGGAAAATAGTTGATTGAAGAGATAACGAGAGAGAAGATCGAACAGAAATTAGAAATGCTGAGGAGAGGGAAAGCGGCAGCGAGAGACGAAATAGGAAATGAGGCTTGGATTTTCGCCACAGATAGGGTCAAATAAAGGATGATGAAAATTATAAACAAACGGCGTTTACCTGAAGAATGGAAGGGAGAGGGAGGAGTTGTCATTTCAATGCAGTATTTTCTCCAGAACCTTCTTAGCAGCCGTGAATTAATTAGGTTGTGTATCCCACTAACCTGTTGTTTTGCCATGTTTTCGTTTCCTAGTCTCTGGCTGTGTCCTGGCTGTTTCTCCATGTCACCATATCTGTAATGATTTTTTAATTTTTCAGCTGGTAACTGACTTCAAAAGCTTCTATTGTGGCTATTTGAAAGTTATTCTCACAACTTTCGATCTCTACGGGTCTTTTTTCGAAGGACAGTCCCCAAGTTTTTCCTCCAGCAGCACCTTAAATCTAAAGTTACCAACGTATAGGTCATCTTTGGAATCTAACATATCTGCTTGTGATATTTATATAGCATGCCTCCGACACATGTCAGTTTACCCCTACTGTTATACCGAGACTTACTACCTTCTAATGTCAATGGAACCATGATCGTTAATGGCTTATTTGTAGATACTTTTGTGCAAACCTGGGGTCCCTGGTTCGAATCCGGGTTCGGGTATGGATATTTTGTAAATGTATAGTGGGTTGGGTAAGGGTTGATAGAGCAGCCTAGGCTGAAACCTCGCCCACTCAATAGTAGAGGCAAAAAATAAGTATCAGTGCTACTCCACACAATGTAGTGAGCATTATTTTGCATTGCACCCGAGATTGCAACCGATGATGATTTGCCACTATTTGACCATGTCATAGGCAACTAATTGTTTAAATTCTCTGGTGGAGAAAGGAGGGGTTAGCCCGGATGGTCGTATAAGAGGTGTGCGGACCCTAGCACTAGTTCCTTCCTAGCCCCTCTCGCTTGTACTGTTACTGAGACCACTAGGTCCCTTGAATGGCGTTATTGTGATATACTGGTCCCAGGTTGCCCCGCGGATGTATCATAAATAATGCATCTAGGCCTCTGACCTAGTTCTTGTATTGTACACCCAGGTTCTTAGATCTATGTATTTTTGGATCATATACGCACTTACGACTGTTATGCAGCCTTTGAGTGATGCAAGTTAACTGAACTATTTTGACCCTAACTTACCTACTGTGTGCTAGTCTCAAGTTGTCATCGTTATCGGTCTCGGTTTCTCTATGACTTTAGAGATGCCCCCTTTAGAAGTTCAAATGTAAACTGTGTAATTGGCGCCGGGAATGTGGTCCATCAGGATTTAATGCACCCCTCTTCCTCTTTGGTAAGAAAAACCTTCTTGATTATCTGGCTGGTCCATATTTGTATCACGAGTAGCTAGTTTTTGGTTTTAGGTTTTTATTAAGGTTGTCTCTTCTTCGTCCAAGCTGTTGCGCCACCCCTGGTCGTTATCTACACAAAGTTCCCTAGCCACGGCATGCTAGGGCTAGGTATCAGAGGCGTAACAGGAAGAGTAGAAAAGGGGACGATAAAATCGCCAATTACTAAACTTAAAAATCAAAATAAACCCATAGCGTAGGACTCCAACACGTACAGTCTCCATAGTGGAAATGCCCCAGGTTCAATTCACGCGTGTTACAGCTGCACTTGACATCCAGAGCTGTCATTCTTTAAATAGCGTGACGTGGCAGTTCTGTTAATAAAAGTCGCTGACACGAACCTTCATGTATCCCCTCACCTATGACTTCAAAAAGAGAGAACGCTAGCACCGGCGCAACGGGAAGCCGTTACATGAAACGTCGAAGCGTAACCTTAGAGTTAATACAACTGCCAAAAGTCTGCCTTTTTAGAGAAAAATTCCCCTTAACGTGGTGGTTTTATTCGGTCATCCGTCCGTCCGTCTGTCCCGCATCTAACTCCAGAACAAAAAGAGACAACGACGTGGAACCTTTGCCAGTCGATTACTATGAGTTCAAGGATCAGGGCTGTTGAATATGGGCCCGAACAGTCGTGTTACACAAAAATTTCCCTAACTGATAATCGTAACGACAGTCGTGGTATGACTGCCGGGACCGCCAGCCCTCCGAAACGTAGAAGTTAGGAGGTGTTCTGTACCACAACAAAACTGACAAGTTATGGGATTCGAACTCACCACCTTAAATGGTCTTAAACCGTTACGCCAAACTTACAAATAATGATGAAGAAATTTTACACCTGCAAACTTGATCAAGCGAATAAATAAACGGAATTAAATAAAAGTAAAA